AGGTCAAACAACTTCTATACAACGAAAGGAGACTGCGACCACACAAAAGGCCACACCATCTTGGTCTTCGATCTTCGATCAAAATAGAAGAGAGTTTCAAGATGGCACCGTTACAACCGGCAGTGCTCATGTGGTACCTGGATGATTACTTAGCACTTTGATCACATGGAAGAGGAAAACTGAAAGAGATTCTTAAATTTGTTAACCAGATTGATGGAAAAATTCAATTCACGATGGAAGTAGAGGGAGGTGATCGGTTACCGTTCATGGACGTTGAAGTGATTTGCTCTAATGGGATGCTCAAAAAGAAATTGTTCAGAAAGAAGTCCTATGCTGTGATAATACTCAATTTCGGATCCCATCACAATTACAGGCTAAAGATTGGAATAATGAGGAACATGATCATTCGAAGCCTACGCCTAACGGATGTAGAATTCTGGGACGAAGAGCTGGACACTGACGAGGATATTCCTCGGCAATGGCTACCCACGCTAAGTGATACAAAGAAACATACGGGCCATGAAAAGCCGATGGAAGAATGGTGACTGAAAGAACAGTAAGGACGATGAAGGATTCATAAAAGTGGATATACCTACCTTTCTTCAAACTAACTCAAACTACGGCCAATATTGAGTAAATGGAATATTCAGGTGGCCATGAAAGAGAAATTTACACTTTTCACAAGTCTACTAACGCAACATGAAAGGGTAGACGAATTGAATTGTTCAGGAGTTTACTGTATATCATGCGGCGCCTACGAGCAAAATATATTGGCGAAACAGGGAGAAAAATTAGCACACGAATCAAGAAACATCAGAGGCTCTGCAGGAACATGGATACCGAAAGATCAGAACTAGCAGAACACATCGCACAGACTGGATACGAGATCAATTGGAAACCAAGAGAAAGAAGAGCTTCATACGGTGACAATAGAGGGAAGCGGAAGATTAGGGAGGCAAGTGACATCCTTGGGGAAAAAATCTAATGAACAGGAGATTGGAGGAAGGTAGAGTTAGCGATAACTTTGCCTACTGCCTAAGCAAACTCGGGAAAAACAGGAATGGAGCAATACCAGTTAAAAGGAGACGCCTGGATCAAGGATCTACCGATAACAGGAGAAAAAGGGATCGCGAGGAGTATACTGGGGGGAAGGGGTTTTCGGCAAGAAAGCGAAGACGTTGTCAGTCAGTGAGGCCCATTTCGAATAAACCAGTACAACTTGCTTATGGACTTCAGTCTCCGTCAGGACTTTCTTTGAGATCATTAGGCCTTGATGATCAGAGCCTAACTTTAATATTTTGATTACTCCAATTTAGGACTGATATTGCGTATAGACGCTAACACACACACGCATACATTCGAGCAAAAATAGCAGGACAAGTATGTAAGATATTTAGCCAAACCACTCTCTATCCATCTAGGTTTTTAATTTTCTTTTGGCTTAACTGAGTCCATATAAGAGGTAAGATAAAGCCGGATAGTGTCCTTGCCCTAGTGTTAACGAAAGCCTTTTACAAGAATGACACCCAGCTTTGAGGATGTCCATCATATGGACGAAAGCTCAGCACGTTTTCACCTGAAACGAGGAAGTCCCGTGGACTGCGTCAACATGAATATCGTATAAAATCCAAACGGCTGCGGTACAACGAGATTCATCCATCCTCATCTGGTGAGATTGACCAATGAATCTCTTCTTCATGCACTTTCATACAAAATGTAGGTCCCCAAAACAATAGACTATTTAAGCCCCGACTTGGAATTACAAGTAGGTGTTTGATTATCATTTCCTATAATCTAATTCACTGACTTTTCACATTTCTTTATATAGTTTACTAACAAAAAGATGTGGGCTCATCAAAGTTTTTTTCTTGCTTGTATGGCCCTTTAGCTCTCTCTACGATGCCCTCAGTTTGGAAATTGCAAGCTCTACTTGAATCAGCCTGGAGCTCTGGTTTCGATCCTGCCGGGGCCGCTCAAATTTCAGACGTCGTCAGGCAGGCCTCAAATTTGAGATCTGTCGGTGCCCCGCCCCATCGGTCTGAGACTAACGGCCTTGTCGGCTTGGTTGACAGCACTGTATGGCTAGGTGCTACGGATTTGGCCGCACTGCTTGGCTCCGTTGGTGTACGCTGCTGTCTCGTCGAGTGCATCGCCGCCATTGGACCGCGAGGCACGCATCCCAAGTAAGTGCATTCTGCCAGTTTTGCTAACCCTCATTTTTTTTCTAATTTTTTCTGGGACTGAATTTTCAGTCTCACCACAAAAATTTAATGATTATTTAATTAAATTCATATTGCAACATTCCATCAATTTGCTCGCTATGTAATTTACTTAGTTGTGCTTCTTATCTCGATTTTATTCGAGGGTTTGTCTTATCATCATATCCGCTGACTTATGGCACCACTGACGTTTCTGCACAATCTTATCTTCTCTTGGATGGGTATGCCTTCATTTTTTTCGCTAGCATCGCCATCTAGAAACGCTTGCCCCATCACGAAATAACACCTCATCATGATATAATTGAATCATGCTTCATTAATCAG